AAAGCGAAATGCCAACGTGGAACCACAAGGCTGCCATTGCGATGGTATCTCCTCATCTGCCTTGCCCGTGATGGATGATTGTAAAAGACACAGTACGAAGGTACCGTTTTCCGCACATTTTGACAAGATGTAGACCATCAACCATCGTCGGTCGACGGCGCGGCTGATTATTTCCGGTGAAATATGCCGGCGCACCGTCCGAGCGGTACGCATCGGCGATGGATGACCGTCCGCGGGGCACGCACGAGGCGGGCTCGGCTCGGCTCGGCTCGGCTCGGCTCGACTCGACTCGGCTCAGCGGCGCCCGGCTCCGGTCCCGTCAGGCCGCGCCCCCTCCTCCTCTCCCCCCTCCTGCTCCGGTCCCGTCCATCCGCGCCTCCTCCTTCCCCGGCTCCTTCCCGTCCGATCCGCGGCTCCTCCTTCGCCCCGGCTCCGGCCCCGTCAGATCCGCGGCTCCTCCCTTCCGCCAGCTGCCGGTCCCTCATTCCGCGCCCCCTCCTCCTCCCGCTCGCGGCTCCCGTCCCTCCGCCGCCCCTCCTCCTCCCCGGCTCCGGTCCTTCAGATCCGCGCCTCCCCATCCTCCGCCCAGGCTCCGGTCCCTGTCAGATCCGCGCCTCCTCCTCCGCCAGGCTCCGGTCCCGTCAGATCCGCGCCTCCTCCTCCGCCCGACCCCGGTCCCGTCAGATCCGCGCCCCTCCTCCGCCCGGCTCCGGTCCCGTCAGATCCGCGCCTCCTCCTCCGCCCGACCCCGGTCCCGTCAGATCCGCGCCCCCTCCCCCGCCGCCCACGTGTCCTGGCCTCCGGGCCGGCCGTCCTCAGCGCGTGCTCGCCGCGTCGCTCGCTGCTGCTCTGTGAGGGATGGGCGGGCCTGTCCGCGTCGAAGATCGGGGCGGCCGTTACGAGCCAGAGCAGGGCGGCGGCGGGGCTGCCAGCCGTCTGTTACACTGAGATTGTGTCCACGTCCGCCAACGCAGGCACGTGGTGTGACGTCGCGGTAGCTGTGTTAAATCCGGCCGTTGCTGGCGTCTTGACGGGTGTTTAGACGGCGCATGTTCCGAGAATTTCGCCGAAAACTTGATCTGTGGTTTTGTACGACTTGGCAGCGTGGATTGCCGTGTGCTCCTGGGCTGGGGATTTGATGTGCGCCTACGACAGTGACCTTGACCTTTGGTAGCGTGGATTGCCGTGTGCTCCTCGGCTGGGGATTTGATGTGCGCCTACGACAGTGACCTTGACCTTTGGTAGCGTGGATTGCCGTGTGCTCCTCGGCTGGGGATTTGATGTGCGCCTACGACAGTGACCTTGACCTTTGGTAGCGTGGATTGCCGTGTGCTCCTCGGCTGGGGATTTGATGTGCGCCTACGACAGTGACCTTGACCTTTGGTAGCGTGGATTGCCGTGTGCTCCTCGGCTGGGGATTTGATGTGCGCCTGCGACAGTGACCTTGACTTTTGACAGCGTGGATTGCCGCGTGCTCCTGGGCTGGGGACTTCATGTGCGCCTACGACAGTGACCTTGACCCTCGTCCCCAGGCCGACATCGACACATGCGACGATCGCGGGCGGTCACCACTGCACGCGGCTGTGGCTGCCGGTCATAAGGACTGCGCCAGGGCTCTGCTACGGCAGCTGCTTGCAAGGTGACCAGCAGTAATCCGACAGCGCGAAGATGTGCAGACTATTCTGTATTAGCCGTTGATATCGAACACGGAATGTCGGAATGTTGGACTGTGATACAGGTAGTCACGTCTGGTAAATGGCTGAAGGGCATTTTATCTGGCATCCTTTGCAGTTCGAAGACGAATATAAGCTAGCGTAATGGGATGAACAACATGAGATGCATGCTGAGGAAAACAAGATTAACAGAACATAACATAACAGAATGAATTAGTCCAGTAAAATGTGTGATACTCCCGCCGTAGTCTCTCTTCACTACACGAACGTAAAAAAACATTCGATTCAAATCACAACATCGTGCAGTAGAACAGTAGCAAAGAAAGCATCGCACACTTTTGTCTGGCTGTAATATATCGGGCAACTCTATTGCCGAGGAATTGCATTACCAGACGGCGTCCTATGGAACAGGATTGGATAGGCTTTAACATGGTGTTCGAGCGTTCAATGTAAACTTCCGATTTCTTATTTCAATTGATTTTGCGATTTTTAATTCAGCAACATCTGTTCATATTTGTGCATGCCTGCAGGATGGGTATATTGAGCGAGTTTGCGTCGACGATTTCGCAGCATTGAGTGTTTGTGGTCTTGCTTTTTGGATCTCGGATGTGCTCGTTAAAGCGCTCCGGGACGCTAAGTTTTATTTCGAGACAGCGACGCACGTGACCTGAATCGATGGGCGCCAAATGACTGCACTACATGACTACGGGCGCGCCACTACAGCCGGCGCACCCGTAAACCCTTAAACAACGAAGTGATCTGAATCGAGCGTAGGCTTCATGTGTGCTTCACTGACGGAGCCGACGGCTGAACACATGAGTTTTTCTGGACTTGTTTGTCGTAGTATGAACATCAGGCTTTTGTTATTTTCCTTTGCATGACATGACAGTATTGTCACGAAGAGTTGAGTGATAAATGTGCTGAAATGTTTGAATTGCTGAAGGGCAAGGTAGGGATTGGTAGCGTTAATGGGTTTCGACATAATTGCATGCGTTTTGTCACGCAACGAAGTGTGCACGTCACGAATTCAAAAGCACGGCTGGCACGGATGTATGATATATGATGTTCACTGTGATCTTGTTTAAGTCCGCCCTCAGGCAGCTTCAAACTAATTTTGCAAAGCACCTGTGTGAATTACAGAAACGTGTGTTTCCACAAATACTTGCTTAGCGTTCACCTTAGCTGTAAGTACTGCGGAAAAGTTTCTCAAAGCATTCCAAAGTATTGGAGGAAATTATCTTACGTTGCGTAACCTCGTGGAAATAACAGCTATTTAAACATGTCACCGTTAAACATAATCGTGTAGACTCGCACGATTGCGTAGATGTATCATGTGATACATTTTTCCTATGAAGATCAAGGTCATAATTTTGTTTTATGATGCATGATGTGCTGAGGGCCGTGCGTGTGTCTAGGGGATGGTTGCATGATGTGTTGAGGGCCGTGTGTGTCCTGTGGGCGTGCCATGATGACGTACTGAGGGCTGTTTGTATCCATGATGTACCTGTATAATGGTGCTGAGGGCCGTGGTGTGTCGGAGGCGTGCCTGTATGACGTGCTAAGGGACGTTTGTTGTCCGTGAACGTGCCTGTATGACGGCTGAGGGCGGTGTGTGTGTCTAGGGGATGGTTGTATGATTGTGTTGAGGGCCGTGTGTGTCCAGGGCATGCCGAGCGCCCCGACCTGCCCGTGTGCTGTGCTCGAGGGTCTTGAGTATCCGGGGCGCCTGGGCGGCCGTGCTGACTTGTCGACTGCCGTGCGCCCACCAGGCTCCAGCTGCCGCCACTCGAGTCCTCGGAGCTTCCGCCAGCTGTTGGCCGAGTCCAAGACGGTTGAGATGTGTCCCGAGCTGGACGAGGTCGTCAACAAGAAGGACGGCACGGGACGGTGAGTGATGCGCGCGACAGGCGGCGACAGCTCGCCGGCCGACTGCGCCGTGCCGACGGCGACACGCCGGTGCTCAGGCTGTAGGCGCGCTCGCCGTTACAAGATTAGTGGTTATTGGTCCATGTGACGAGAGGGATCGCTCAATTGACGTTCGGTGTTCCGGTTATGGTTGATGGCTTAACTCAACAGGGAAGTCACGCGGCTTATCTACATGGCGTCGACACTGATGGTAACGATCCGTGTTGCATGTCGTCTAACGCCAGCCGACATCAGGAAGTGGCGCCTCGCCTTATTCAGTGCGCGCAGGCATTGGGTTGTATTACACGACGCCATATGACCAACGTAGTCGGTGCGCCCCCAAACCCAAATCATCATCATCATGTATTTACACGATAGCAGGCTATGAGCGGATAGCGGCCACAGGACGTGGGAGGATTTTTTTTTAGGGGGGGGGGGGGGGTTCTCGGCGTCAATCGATGTGACGGGAACCAGTCTGCTCATAACACTCTTTATTGGATCTTATGCTGAAAATAACTGACTTCCAGTATACAAGGAGGTACTGGCAATCAAAGATATCAGGCAGTTATTGGGCTGTGTGACGAGTATGCTCGGCGATTCAAGCCGCGCTCACCGTTAAGAGTATATGAGGACAAGTACGCAATCGTCATTCAGAAACCGTAGGCGCGTGAAGACAGAAAATATTCGCCATTATGCAGTCTACCATTAAAAGAATGACACAATAATCAGTCGTCCAAGCTACGACATCCTTACACGCGATTCGCGGTATCTTGCTTCGGGTTCCTCGGCACACTAGAGGGCTATGCCGAAGGGTCTGCATTTACCGGCACCCGGTGCCATTACCTCGCGAATAGCATAGCTGCATGCATTCAGGCTCCTGCATTCAAACGCCCGACACACGGTGCGCGCTGAGGCTACCTGGAAGGTTTCGACGATCCGCGCCGAGTGTGCGGTTAGAGGTGACTGCTAGAGCACATCAGTGGCGTATAAACTATGGAGAGGAGTGTTCGCGAAACGCCGGCCTCAAAATACGGTCTAAGGCGGCTCTTGTATTTTTAGCTCGGAACGAATGTTTGGAATGTGCAGGGCTACTAATGTCTTCAGACCTGCGTTGTTTGGCGCTGTCCCTGAAATTACTGCTTTGAAGCTGATGTTTGCTGCGCCGTGCCTCATTCCGGCGAGTCTGGCCTGATGTGTGTTACGGCTGTGGCGTGCAGGCTCTCGTTAGGCACGCTCCCCCAGGGGGTCACTCAGCTGGTTTGCAATGCTGTATTTTGTATCTCATGCATAAGGATCCCTCGGCATGGGCTACAATATATATATATATATATATATATATATATATATATATATTATGTGATCTATTCTGTTCATCCTTCCTTGAGGCCATGGACGCAAGTATGACACAATCTCCTTCGAGTCGGAAACCCTTGCGTCTTCTCCATGGATGATAGAACCAGAATGGACTTAAAACTTGAGGTCACCAGCTCACGTCCCACTAAGGGTGCCCAACATGCTCAATGTCACGGCGGTATTCACCTGCTCGCGCATGCTGTCATGTATGAGCGGTGGTGTCACGTATAAGATTGCTTTTTCACCTTTTTCGAGCTCCTCGCGGAACTGGTACGGCCAAGCATCGAGAACGAGCCGCACAAACGGAAGCGGCGGTCGCTGTACCAGGCACCCGCTTCCTGGAAAGGGAGGGGCCATTTTAGCTAGACCACACTCCACGACTGGGATCAAGAGGGGAGACGCCTGCGCCTTCCGCATTTGCAATAACGGTGCCGCAGCTCTCCGCTGCTGTTTTGAGCACGGATGTCCCTAAGCTGTTGCTGTCAGCCTTTAGCTTGTCAACTTTGTCAACCTTTTGTTCGTTTACTTTTAACCTTATATGCGGGGAGGGGTCCAGGGGACCGTTTGACCTAGCCTTTTGCCTTTCAGGCAGGCCTTTACGCTTTGCCGTGCTGTTGGGTGTTAGCATGTGGGAGTCTGAATGATTGCACTGATGTTCTTGGAAGTCGATTTCTAACCTTATGTTCTATACCAGTCGTGGAGGCCTTTCTGCATGGCTGTCTGTGTTTTTAGCAGCCATTCGGATTGTGCCGTGTGCCGGATGTCAGGACGTGGGGACCCCGGATGGTTTGTCTTAAATTATATGAGAGGGCGAATGAACAATCTCTTCATGGCGTTTTAATGGCGTAGTGTGCGCAGGTTTCTAACATTTTCTGTATTTCATGCGCCTTAGGCTGTTAAAAAGTTTTGTTTCACATTAATCACTTGTGACCATGAGCACTGCAAAGACATCGAGCATTATCCAATATACCCCAATGCTACTTAATCTGTACCTTCCGATATCGTCAAGGCCGGATATTTTCAGCGCAAACATTCTGTTTTATCAAGCAAAATACATTTCTATTGATACATTCCGCAGCCAAATAAATGGCCGTGTAGTTTTTTTAGGAACATACGGAATAAACTCCCCTGACCGCTACGCTCTGCGAGATAAGACTAGGTAATGGAACTAGCGCCTCCATTCTTGCCGATCAAGAACGTGTGGGCCTCTCGCAGAGCACCAAACTCCCGTTCGTTCATCCGCGCACCTGTTTAGCTGCCGCTGATTCCGTTCACGTCATCCGTGTATTTCCTCCATCAGTTCTCAGTTTTTCACATGCGTCTGCTCCGTCATGTGTAAAGCCGACATTATGTCACGCTGCGGTATACGGCAAGCGTGGCGGTGCCCCACGTACCACGCTGCTTCGTCGCGCCGTCTGCCCGTCCAGCCCTCGTGGAACGGTCTGTCTCGTGACACGCTGGGATGGCCTTCCGCGTCCTTAAGGAGAAATCTGATCACCGATACCGGCTTATGCCTGTGTGTCTGTGTTCCTAATTACGATGGCGGCCGCGGGCTCAGAGAGTCCGACCCCAGCTTTGAGAGCGTGGTCAGCTGGAGTGGCTCGGCCCGTCTTGGCCTGTTGGCGCGCTTTTTCAAAAGTTTGCGATCTTTGCAACCTAAGTCACTCGCCACTTATCGGTTGGGACACTGAGGGGCATCAGCAATCGGCCGGGAAGCGGTCAACGCCACCTTTCCCCAATTCGGCCTCGAAGACAGGTTGGGCCCGTGCCGATTACAGCTTAGGCCATGTGAACTGCGTCGGCAGAAAGGCCAGTTTTGGGCGTGATCAATATCGCCCCCTTTTCGTAATGATTTGTCCGCTGGCAGAAGCGAATAGACCATTCCAAGCGCTTCAGTTTAGTCAGTTACAGTGTTGACAGACTGTGCTGGGTTCAAGGGGAACCGACAGTTAAATCACCTGGGTTTTCACGTGACTCGCGGTCACAGACCATTGCACCCCGGTACCATGATTACTGCGCCTGCGCCTGAAAACCTCGCGAAAGAGGGGCATGCCAATGCGATAATACTGCCTGTTTGCATGTTTTCTCAAAGGCGATTGGCTTCATTTGCGTACGTCATGGTTTCCTGTTCGCTCTGATTGCACTCGCCTTTGTGCCTTTTGGCTCGCCCCACGCTGCAGGGAGCGTGTTACTGTTAATTGCAATATGATCGCAGCTGCGTACTGAATCTCATTCGTCTGTGTACGGCTCCAGCGTGAGGGATCCTGCGATGACGACGCAAAAAACCGAATATTCACCAACAGAGAGCATGCATTACTGATTGCAAAGTACCGTCTGTGCTACATGCGCAGACGTTGCACAAGACCTCGGCTTTTCCGTGTATGTGGTTGATAGCGTTAAAAGGAATTTTTCATATTTGAGGATATTTAAGCAAACATCAGATATGTTGATACAAGCTCCCTTAAACTATTGGCATCCTATGCAAGTGGAAAAGGCTGGTGTAGGCAGCACGATTCTCTGTTTAGTAAATGTACTGCTCAATGTGTCATGGTTTGATTACGTCATCGTTCCTTGCACAACATTGATTGATTGAGATCCAATTGATGGCAGTTGCGTCTGGAAATCGCGCTCACGAACGCTAGATATGAACGCCTGGGCAATGATGTTTTTGTTGACCTTGATCGCCGCATGGATTGTGGAATGGCAGGATTTGAATGACGTTATTATGATGTCTTGAATGCCAAGGTGACCTTGAAACACTCCCCGATATACCTTTCCCCATTTTCGTGGGCGTGTAGCTCAGAAACTAGAGGGGTCTAGGTCTTTAGAAGGGCAGTATTGTTCGCAGCACCGAAAAGTCGTCAAGATGGCTGTTTCAGTTCAAAACCCCATGTACATGTGGAACACTCTCTTTAATATATATGAAATGAATGTAAAAAGCAGCAGGCAGATGCCGAAAATTGGAGGATGAGAAACTGATAGAACCAGAGGATGGCTTGTCTGGGAGTCGGTGGGCAGGGTCGGGTGCCTCGAGACGTGACCACGTGACCCTGAGTGGCAGCCTTCGCGTGCCTCAAGACGTGACCACGTGACCGCGCTGGGCGGCAGGACACCGCTGATGCTGGCTGTGGAGAACGGCAGCGCGGAGCTGGTGCTGCTGCTGCTGGTGCACGGCGCCCGGCCGGGCCTGGCTGACGCCGAGGGACGCACGGCCCTGTTCCGAGCGGTGAGTACGCTGGAGACGGCGCACGTGACAGCATGCTCAGGCTGATCCTTTGTCGCCTGCTGAGATGTGCGAGGAGTGCTAGGTAACTGCCGCACATAGGTGAGTTTGCTATCTCATTGTCCGAACGGTTACCTAATGCATGTTTGATTTTGTGTAATACTGAACCCAGTAGGTTCAACTCCAGCCTGTTGCCATAACGTGAGGTTGACAAACTAGGCTGATATTGAACACTATGGTGGACATGGTGGGTTGCGATAACCACTTGGCCATTGTGTAAATTCGCAATGCAAGGGCTTTGCTGTGAATGTGTACTGTATATGGTATACACAGGCGATTCATTAATGCAGTGGGTCCGCCAACTTAACTTATAATACTGGGGGAACTCATGTAAAACCAAGACACAATGGTATCTGGGTTTTACAGCGCAAGGTAGGTTGGGCTAATTGCTGCAATAAATTATGACTCATTGTGTGGTTGAATGCGAATTTGAATGCACATTTCTGAGCTATTTTCGTGCTTCATTCACTTTTTGTCTTCTTTAAGTCTTTGTGCTTTTACCCTAAGCGTATTCTAGGCTAAACAATGCACGCCATTACAAGCATAGCGATTGCCAGCAAATCAAAGAACGCATTTTGAAGCAAATTTAATCGGCGCAGATCCCTTTGCCCCATGATGGGCTAACTGATTAGTTAGACGCCCTGATGAAGAACATTGTTGAGTGCGGGGGCGGCTCTGAGACCTGGAGATGGAGAACATTATTGAGAGCAGGGTAGGTCTGAGACCGGGAGGTGAAGAACATTTTTTAGAGCAGGGTAGGTCTGAGACCGGGAGATGAAGAACAATCTTGAGAGCGGGGTAGCCCTGAGACCGAGAGATGTAGAACATTTTTGAGAGCAGGGTAGGTCCGAGAGTGGAAGATGTAGAACATTCTTGAGAGCAGGGTAGGTCTGAGAGCGGGAGATGTAGAACATTCTTGAGGGCAGGGCAGGTCTGAGACCGGGAGATGTAGAACATTCTTAAGAGCAGGGTAGGTCTGAGACCGGGAGATGTAGAACATTGTTGAGAGCAGAGTAGGTCTGAGGCCGGGAGATGTAGAACATCCTTGAGAGCGGGGTAGGTCCGAGAGCGGGAGATGTAGAACATTCTTGAGAGCAGGGTAGGTCCGAGAGCGGGAAATGTAGAACATTCTTGAGAGCAGGGTAGGTCCGAGGGCGGGAAATGTAGAACATTCTTGAGAGCAGGGTAGGTCCGAGAGCGGGAAATGTAGAACATTCTTGAGAGTAGGGTAGGTCCGAGAGCGGGAAATGTAGAACATTCTTGAGAGCAGGGTAGGTCCGAGAGCGGGAAATGTAGAACATTCTTGAGAGCAGGGTAGGTCTGAGAGCGGGAGATGTAGAACATTCTTGAGAGCAGGGTAGGTCTGAGAGCGGGAGATGTAGAACATTCTTGAGAGCAGGGTAGGTCTGAGACCGGGAGAGCGCGAGTCGGCCGATGGAAGATACTGACCGAATCAGAGGTGACAAAAGCGTTAGCGAGAATGCGTAGGATGCAGGCTGCACCCTGTGGGTAAAGACAGACCGCTGTTTCCTGTCGAGACGGCAATGGCAGCAACCGTAATAGCGTAATGCGCCCCATTCGTTGAGCGTGGTTGAGATAGTGCACATCAGTCATCTGTGTGATACGCTGGGCCGCCCGCGGTCTTCGGAGAACTTTGTTGTGCAGTGGCCAGAAAACAAAACAAGGGCTACCGGTTTGTACGTGACACCGAGTGTGCGTTGGCATTCGCCGTACCGTCGAGAAAACGACGCTGACGGCCATGGCGAGGACTGGGTCCCCAAATCGCTAAAACTAAGACGAATTATAGTCAACTGATGGACAATAACTAGCTGGAGTCGTCCACGATATATGTGGCTAGAAATGTCTCCACTGACAGGATCGTTGCGGGTGCCAATGTAGGCCAATCGTATGCAGGATCGATGACAACCGCAACATCTATTTCTGCTCAGTCGGAAATGAAATATCCTTTAAGCAGACATATGGTGGTCTGCGGTGTGATTCTATTGCGTGAGCTTCGTTTCAGTGCATACTCGCATTTGATTAACCAAGGACCGTTCTACATTGTTTTGTTGGAGTTCAACTCTAGCAATGTCGTGCTCAGTGCCGTTAATGCGGGAAGACTTCGAATTTATTTTACGCCATCTCAGTGGGCAATAGCTCAAACATCTGGATTTGCACAAATAGCATGAATGCCGTTTTCATGATTATGACGTCCCTTATGTGAAGTGAATGTTTGGTGTCAGTGAATATCCTCCTGTGAATGTAAGCTCTCCCATTAGTATACCCTGGTAATTATCACCCTTACTTTGGTTTCAAATAGACCAGTCGCTAGAGTAAGTTGTGCGAGCAGCGTGACCGGAGTCCTCGGTGACGGGAGTCATTCTTGTTTGAAGATATTAAAGCAAGCATCACATGGGATGAAACAAGCGCATTTATGACTATTGATACACTTTTGAAGTGGAAAAGACTGTTCTTGACAGCACAATACTCTGCTTAGTAAACCTGCTCCTCAATGCGCCATGGTTTGACTACGTCATTGTACCGTGCACAACATTGATCAAGATCTTAGGCCGTTTTTTTTCTGGAAATCACGCTCACGGACATCAGATATGAACGCCTCGGTAGCCATTTTTTTTGGGGGGGCCCTGATCCTCTCATGGCTTATGAAGCGGCAGTATTGAGTGACGTTATTATGACGTCATGAATATCAAGGTGACTGAAGTACTCTCCCCATTATGCCTTTTTCCTTTTTCGCAGACGTGTAGCTCAGAAACTAGAGGGGCTTAGTCCTTAAGAATTGCAGAGTCGTGAACAGCACCGAGAGGTCCCCAAGCTTTTCAGCTTAAAACCCATACAAATGGGGTACACTCCCTTTAAACATCGATTGTTAGGCGTACACTCGCCCTGCACCCAACAGATCCAAAACGGAGTGTGTTACTCAGTTTGTCAGCGAAATAATGCTGCTGGTTTATAACGTCCCATGCAGGGCCATTGTGTGACGCCTGCGGTAAAGGCTGACTGGGAAATACAAGGCTCTCGAAGACGTAAGCACAGGCTTGCAAAAAACCGATGCTGCTGTTAACATGGACGGCTGCTCATTGTTGTGATATACAGAATAGCCACCCGCGAGTGCGCCTCCAGACGTAAGATGAAGAAATAAATGAACTCGGATCTCAAGGCCACCTTTCCGAAGCAGTTTCTAGCAGTTTAAGTTTCAGATTTCTACGAAAAAAAACAAGAAACAAAACAAAACACCATGGCCACTTTGCTTCCTAACCCCACTCGCAGACGAGCATCCGCGGTAACGTGTCGTGCCGTGACTCGAGGCCGCAGGGCTGGCCGAGACGCCATGACTCGAGCCCGCAGCGCTGGCCGAGACGGCGTGACTCGAGCCCGCAGGGCTGGCCGAGACGGCATGACTCGAGCCCGCAGCGCTGGCCGAGACGGCGTCCTGCTGCAGACGTGGAGCGCGCTCCGGGTCGGCCGGCGCGCCCGCGACTCCGGTCCCGGCCCCGGCCCCGGCCCCGGCCCCGGCCCCGGTCCCGGCCCCGGCCCCGGCCCCGGCCCCGGCCCTGGCCCCGGTCCCGGCCCGGTCCGCCAGCGTCGCTGCGGGACCAATCAGCGGCGCCATCGGAGTGTTAGGTGACCTCCATGCGTGCCGGACAATGGCCCGCGCCCGCCGTTGGGGGGCCTGGAACGGACCTCCACCGGTCTCCCGGGGGTGGTGCTGAGCGAGCGGCTGAGGTGGGAGAGCAACGCCAAAGCGGTGGTAGGGTTTTAATTTGTGCGTGGATGGAAAGGAAGTGGTGACTGAACGGCACATTTACGACGGAGGCGTAACGGCAGAAGTATTGTGTTCTTTGCAATGGGAGCTTTGCTCAAATGCTGTGCCGCTAAGCTGGTATGTGGTGGTGCTTCCTCGTTTTCATTAGGATTCATGTCAGAGCCAAGTGGAAATGCCGCACGGAAATATTTTGGTAGCGATTGTTTTGGCTGCCAATAGCAAATGGAAGCCGAAAAGAAAATGCATGTGAGTTACGATAAAATAATGCGACTATCCCCGTATGCAACCTTGTGAGAAATATGTCAGTCGCTTGTTGCCCCGCACTGGACGCTAGGCGAGGGCGTATACAGGACATCGTGAAATTTAGCAGCTCGCGCTCCCCCCCCCCCCCCCCAAAGTCCCGAAATACACGTGTGAATATTGGCCGCAGCTGACGGCCGCGTTTACTTCGAAAGCACGTTGAAGAACACAAGGAAGCACAAGGACGAACACACAACAACTGTTTAATGAAGCTGTGATTAAGGCACGAGCAGTTATTTGTACAGTACTGTACAGTTATTCACATTGCTGTCACTTGGCACTCTTGGTTTTGGAACTTCGGCCTTAATTTCCGTAGTTGTCTAGCAGTGGCCCGATGCGAGCAGTCTTCGGGTAAATGCATTATCTGCGACAAACCATACTGATGGAGGTTTGTCGGCTTTGGCACGCAGCGCTATTTGCGAATAGCTTTTGCTGGGCTACCCCAATTGCCAGATGTGTTCACCACCATGTCGTTGTAGCTACGCGTTAACATTATTTCCGATTTTCGACCGCTGAGAAATTGGTTATGAGAGTGGCCAACCTAAAACTTTCAGTCGGGAAGTCGATGGTTTTGTTATGAGGCACGGTTTGGGAACTGCGATCAAAGTTCACATAGCATGCGAATAATCTGATGGATGTTGGATACGATGAACCCGCCTCTACACCTGTGCAGTCGTGGCCCAGCCGTTCCCTGCCCAGGCGGCGCGGAGTTGTATTGGAGAGCGGTTATGAGTCGGACAGCGCTGGGATCGCTTGATGATTGTAGACGGCACATTCGTGTATA